CATGTTGTAAATTCACCTGTTTGACTGGGGAGAGCATCACAGGCCCCAACAGCAGGTGTACTCAATTCAATGGAAATACTTGGGCTGTGCTCCACTAACTTGAACAGCCCCTGCATGATGATCGGTAGGTCTATTGTAACGTGATTAGATGGTTGTAAACACTTACGTGTAGCTTTTCTATTTCATTTCCCCAAAGAAATGTCAAGTATTCATGATACAATTGTCATAAAGTTCGTATTGCTCTGTAGCTGTTTGGCAGTGCCTGTGTATGATTGATGAAGGGCTGTTGTGTGGCAGACAGCACAAGGACACGGTCCTCATGTGATCACTTCATGGCACCTTGTCAATGAGACTGAGTCTTCCAGGATGGGATTATGGGACATTCTTGTACAAAAACCCTCTTTGGGCTCAGCTGGAGAGTGTAGGAAGGAGGGGGAAGAGAGCAGCCCAACAAATCCTGAGAGCTGGATCTCAGAACAGACGACTGGAGGGCAATTGCAAGAATTTGCCATAGCTTTGAGCAGCCTCAGTGCCAGCAGCATTTTCCCAGCTCCTGGAGGGGTATGAGCCTCAAACCCCAAGTCTGAGTGAAGCCAGCTGGAAGAATCACAGCTCATCACAGGAGACTGCAGCCTTAAGACCTGGTCTGAGATCTCTAGTGAGCTGTTTGACAAACCACATGCAGGACTGAGATGAGTGCACTTGGAAACCAACCACAGTTACCCTGGTGAGTGTGGCAGAGGAGCAAAAAGTGATGTCGAGGAAAATTGCTGCTGATTGACAGAACAAACAGGTGAAGAAAAAGTACCAGTCACATGTCACCTTCAGAGTTTTTAGTTTGTCTTGGGTAAATCACTCCCTTTCCACTCCCCTGGAGAAGTTTGTGTAGAAGCAGCTCAGACTGATTGACAAGCAGACATGTGACAGAGAAATCCTCACTGCAGGCAGGGAAGAGGAGGAATGCAAAATAAGGTTTCACACACACATATATATGTATATATGTATATATGTATATATGTATATGTACTTCCTCTGTCCACTCAAGGACAATGCTTCCTACTCAGTGAGGAGCTTTTACAGGGCAATGTGCGTGTGATAGAAAAGGCTTTCACAAAGGCTTTGTTTGGAGCAGCAGAGAGGTGACTTCAGGTGGTGACGTTGCAGACAAGGGAGAAATACAGGTGAGGTTCAGTAAGTATTTGGGACAAGAGAATTCCCATGACTAAATGAGATGACTGAGGTGGAGTAAAGCTTAAAGTCTTGCAGAAGTTTTCTTGCAAGACCTTGACTAAAAACTTGAGGTTTTGTGTGTCGGTTATTGGTGTTGATTGTACCAGCTGCCTCGGTCTAAAAAAATGTTTGATCCAGATCTCTTCAGCCGTAAAAAAGCATTAACAAGTAGATTTATTTATCTTTATTAACAAGTAGATTTAAATGTTAAGTTTTGAGTTCAGATTTCCGTTTTCGCCACCTCTCCCTTAAGTTTGTGAATGGTCAGGTTTTTAGGCTATTTTCCTCAAGAACTGTTTGATCATGTGATCTCTCTGTGTCCAGCAGTCTTTCTGGAGGACTTGAGGGCCTGCTGGAGCCCTCCCAAACAGACCTCCCACAGGTATGACATTCTGTGGGTTTATGAAGCCTCGGAGCTCACTAAAGAAGGACCCACTTGGTGCCCAACCCTGGGAGACAGTGAAACTCCTATCACTGAGAGGAGTAGCTGGATGCTCTTAGCAGTCATAATTCCTACATATCCTGGAATTTTCTTCCAAAGAGAGGATGAAAGTGGTGGGAGCTGGTGTGAAGGGGTGCAAAAGTGAAGATTAGGAGACATGGTATCCTACATCCTGTTTGGCTTCCCCATTTCCCCTGCTCAGGGTGTATCTTGTTTTTCATTCTGTTCCTTTTGCTGCCTTTTTCATTTGTTTGTTTACATCATCTATCAAGTTTGTCATTATGTGCTCATGCACATAAAATCTTTATTAGCCGTGTGGATTCTTTATTCTCTGTTTTAATTTTCCTTCCTTCTTCCTTTGTTAACAAACTCTGCTGATTCCAGATGTTTCCCATTTGACAGCACCTGAGACTTAAGGTTTTCCCCTCCTTCCTCTGGTCACCCCGGGGTGTGTGATGGAGCCCTTTCCTTTTGGGCAGTGGTGAGGAGAATGTTTCTTTACCAACACCTCTTAAAATCCTTCCTAAAAGTCTTCTAAGAGATCATTCTGCCTTGGACAGCTGGAGTGAATGAATGATCACCTTTTGTGATCCTTTAATCTTACCAGTGTTTCCAGAATATTAGTTTAAGGGACAGTAGTAAAGCATTTGCACTCCCCATGTGGGACAGTGTCCTCTCTCGTTCATACTCCAGAAACCCTCTGTATTTTTTCAACAGGGATGAGAGTTTCTTTTCTGGAACTGATGTTTCAACTTCAGTGGCTACAGAAGTGTAAACCACCCCTCTTCTGTGGGGATAAATCTTTAAATCAGGAATCAGGAAACAAAGCTTTGGAATGTCTTCACTGGTTCCCAGTTTGTCGTTTTGCTGCTGGGTCTACCCACTGCCTGTATCCATAGAGAGGACTTTTTTCGGCCAATTGTTCCCCAAGAAGGATAAACTCCAGGGAAAGTAAAAGCTTGGATGCAGAGCCTGCACACAACAGTTTGAAGATGCTCAATCGGTGTGCTTGGGGAAAAGTCTTTTCTGAAAGGGCAGGGTTTTGCAAGTCGGATCCCAAAGCACATCCCACTGGAGAAAGTGCCAGGACATTCATAAACTAAGTGGGCAGGAGGGGCTGGAGTCACCTGTGGACATGAGGGGCTGGGGAAGAGCCATGGTGAGGGGCACTGGCAAGTGAGAAAAATGATCAGACAGAGAAAGATCCTGGTGGTAAGACCAAGCAACTTGACCTTGATACAGTGGGGAAGAGGAGGTGGCAGAGGGTCTGACTGATGCCAGAGCAGCCTTTCCTTTTGCTGGCTGCTCATTCCTTGTTCCCGCCGGGGTGTGCCCTCCTGCCTGAATTGTGCCCAGTTCTCCCCTCTTGGGAGGCTGCTCTCAGTGCCAGGGATCATTGTGGTTTATTGCAGTGTCACTGTCAGGTTACACTGACAATGCTGAAGCGAAAGATGTGTGTGTTGTGTGTCAGTGGCTCAGAGCAGAGTGGTTCAGGGCCATCTTCTGCTTGTGCTGATCATGTTTAAGCCATGGATTGGGCTGCAGTCCTGGAAACCCATCCCATATTTCTTAGCATTGCAGCCAGTGTAGTAGTGAGGATGGGTACAAGTCCTGGAGGGAACGTCAGTGAAAGCCTCCACAAATCACAAGATCTAGTTCTGCTGCTCCGTATAATTAGCGATTAAAATGAGTAAAAACAAAGCGGCAATTTTCTTATTGATCCCCCAGCAAATAGTTCTGTCTATTTTCTGCTGTATTGTTTCTTCTTATTAAATAGCCTTGAATAAGAAATGTCAGTCAAATGGATTTAGATTCCTGGTGCTTCAGACAGAAATCAAAGCAGGATTGAATGAGGAACGATAATTAGAAAGAGGAATTCCACCTCCACATGCTTCTTCCCTTGCTCAAGGAGTGCTGATTTTATCTAAATTACCAAAGCCGTGAGCAAATGAAAGGTGATGGGAATTATAGACTGCAGACGCTGAGACAAAGCAAGGGAAGCTTTAATTAGTGCATTTTAAGGTAGAAATGAATTTCCTGGGAATAAATTATTAGACTCAAGACATATGGAGCTTCTTAGAGGTGAACTGAAAAGCTCTTTACCTGCCAGAACCAGGGCTCATCTGTCTTGTAGAAATGAGTGACCCATCACTGGGGTCTGCAACACATCAGGATTAATCCTTCTTTCTTAACATCTCACTTCTCTTTAATATTGGGGAATTCCCATTGCTGCAGACTCCCATCAATGCAGCATAAAGCAGAATTTTTTTCCAGTACCCACATTTACTCATTCGAGTGTAAGGGATGGATGTACCATTGCTGAGAAAATGGGAGGTACATATTGAACCTGCTGGTACTGAAAGGAAGTTATTTTCCTTTCAGTTCTCCTCTTATTCTCCTTTCTTAGCTCTGTTGCTATCCTTTCATCACACTTGCACACACATAAGTCACTGGGAACCTTAAAACACTGACCTTTCTGTTTTTCAACACATTTTCACAGCTTTTCAAAGGGTGAGGCAGTAACAACTCCGTGCTGTTCAGGGGTGGATAGAGATTCCTGTTTGGATTGATGGAGCTGAAACAAATCCATTTAGCTGTGTGCTTTAATCCAGAATTCCCTGACTCAGCTGAATTACTCAGTCTCTTAATTATTTACATATTTTGTGTGAGTCTGTTGCTCACAGACCTTGTTGAAGCAAGCAGGAGAGGGGCCAGGACCAGAACTAATGGTAATGTTATGGGAGTGCTCACAGACCCCAGAATAAAATGGTTTTGCCCCTCCAAGAGCAACACTGTTCTCCTCTGCCCTGAAAAGTGGGAGTGAAAGCTGAGAAGCTGCCAGATGGAGAGGCCACCCCAGCAACACCTTTTCAACAGTTTGGGGTGTGCTGGCAGGGGTGGTCTACAAGGCAGAGGAGTATATCCTGGAAAATCACCCTGTCCTCCCTTCCTGGGATGAACCAACACTCATGACCTTCCCAAAATCCTACTCTTCCTCTGGCGCCAGATGTGTCAGATAACACAGATGGGGAGAGCAGAGGCACAACCTGGTGGCTTCAGCTCAGGTTTTCTGGCAAAGGGACCTAAAGCCTCACGAAGGCTAAAGAACCCCACACCCCCTCTGGGAAAACAAGGCTCGCACGCTGGTTTTTCTGATGTTCTGGTGCCTATTTCAGATGTTGCTCTTTTGTCCCAGAGTTTAAATTGTGTTACCCATGATGAATGATGCAGTCAAGGGGTATTGATGTGTTTATCTTATGGCAAGATGGAAATGTTGCAAAGTTGTGAGCTGCGGGAGGCACTGGGCTAATCTGACATTTGTTCCTAGCCCTCGCCATGCGAATGGTGTCGCTGCGAGCCCAGCAATGAAGTTCACTGTGTTGTAGCAGACTGCGCAGTTCCCGAGTGTGTCAACCCAGTCTATGAACCAGAACAGTGTTGTCCTGTCTGCAAAAATGGTAAGAAAGTACTGTGTTGAATTAACAAAGAGATATAAAGGAAACATTTCATTCAAATGTTGTTACTGCTGCATCCCCGCGAGGTTTGCTTCCATTGGCACAGGCTGGAGTTGGGGTTGCGACTTCTCCTTGTGCATGACCTTCAGTTATGGGGTGGCAACTGGGAAAATTAAAGGCTGCCCTTCCTGGCCTGTGTCTTCTCCTGGAAGCAGATGGAATGGCTGACTTGACTAAGGCTTTGTAGGACTGAGTCCTGATAACGGTGATTGTTGTTTCATGTCTTTGCTTTTTTCTCATAAGTAGTCTAATATAGAACCAGGTCCATGAGAAAAGAGAGAATCTTTGTCCCTAAATTAAGAAGCCGATGCTTATTACCCAAGACTAAGGGAAAACCCACTGAAATGAATGGCAAACTTCTCCTGTGGCCAGTAAGACACTCACCAAGCTCAGAACATCGTTAGTTGTGTGCTGGAAGTTGTGTGTGTAGTGTTGGCCCTCACTGTCCTCTGAAGTGATTTCATGAATTGGAGTCTGATTCATCAATACTTTTAGGAGAGGTTTTGGAATGACTGGAAGTACCTCTTTGGAAAGGAACTGTTTCCAAGAAGGTCTCCCCAGTCTTGTACCACAGACTGTACACTCATATGTCTCTGAAAAAGCACCTTTCTCCTAATGTAGATGTGAAGACAGATTAAAAGGTAAGGCAGCTGCACGGAAACCTCTTCACAGCTTTCTAAACATGTAAAAAATGGCTACTTGGATTCATCTTCTCCTGTTTAGAATTCACGACCTGTATATATTTTCTTATACATACATCACCGCTGCTGGATAAGAGTAATGGTTGCTTTTGGATCTAAATGAAAATGTTTGCGAAGAAATAACATTTTCAACACATTTTCTGCTCTTTAAGGCAGAGAAAAAGCAAAGAGTTTGAAAGCCAACATATTTTTACTAAAGGAACTGGCAAAATTAAAAAATGTCTGGAAAATTTTACCAAAAGTACTAATTGAAATCCTAAGGGTTCTATTAAACCACGATTTTTGCTCTTAAGTATATTTAAGATTTTTGCTTAGTTTTGTGTTGCTGTTGAAAAGCAGAAAATGTTCATAGGAATTTCATTGGTTCATTGTTGTTGTTGATGAGCTGCAGAGAAAAGGTTTGTTCCCCAGTTCTGCCCACCACCTTTACTGTGCTTGAGTATGAGGTTTCCCACCACACTCAACAAGACTAATGTCTTGGGTTTGTGACCTGGGGGTACCACTGGCCATGGCTGCGCACAGTTCATGTCTGAACACAGTTCAAACTCATTTACACCCAGAAAAATGCTGCTCCTGTGTGTTTGGCCTCTGTTCCCATCGTGTGTAGGGTCCCATCCTGAATCCCCAGCGTTTACACTGGCACCACATCCCATCCGGTTTGTGTCACATGAATCCAACCTGTGAGCATCCCTCAGGCTTCCGAGGAATGCAGACTCAGAGGTGCCTCCACACAGGTCCAGGAGCTGCTGGATTTCCGTACTGACCCTTCCCCACGACCATTTCCCCAGTATCCAGACTCTCCCTCTTTGGGGTGGGTGGCTTCCTGTGTCACAGTCCCTGACACCCCTGGTGACCAGGAAGGACCAGCATCTTTCTTCCCAAAACAGTCAGGAGTGCCCAAATAACCGGGGAAAGGGAAAGAAGCAGCTCCTGCTGGTGGGAACAAGGACAGGAGGACAAGAAGGAAAATCAGCCACATGCTGAAGGGACTCTGGGGCACAGATTGGAACCCTCAAGTAGCAGCCAGGAGGCTTCACCCATGGTTTTACCAAATCCCTCCAACTCCTCTCTTCGCTCATCTTTGGGGGTACAGATATAAAGCTGTACAGCTGAAACCTGTTTAAGGCAGGGATGTGTCTCTCACCATCCTCTCTAGAGCAGCCTTGGGAATCCTGGTCTCTGGCGCCAGGGAGAACGGGGCTTGGAGCACAGCTCAGCCAGCGGTGGGTCATGGCTGTTCCTTGGGACTGAGGAGCTGAACCCCTCCTTGTGTCCCAGCTTGGCTGTAGGGATATCGGGATGTGAGATCTCCCAGCTGGGCTTTCTGCTGCTCCTACTGCAGCTGGAGCTGACTGGCTAATAGTTGGCCAAAGCTTGGAGTTCTGGCTGTATCTATCACAAATGTAATGAAACAATTCACACAGGGATAAAAATTAGTGGGCACCACAGGAGTCTCCTTTGCCACAGGGAATGTGATGAGCTTGTTGTTACTGCTCTTGGATGTAGCTGAGTGTGGCACACTTCCTTTGCCTTTCCCTTATAGTCTGGGAGACTTAGGAGAAAGTAACAGCCATTGCTGTGTCTCTTCCCATCTGAATCCCTCTGACACATCCTAATGAATGAAGAGCACAATGCTTTCAGCTGTCTGTTCATCTTGAGACCAAAATTTTGTCTTTCAACTCCACTGCAGCCAGTCAATTAAAGCTCAGTTTCCCAAATGCATGAAGATAACACAAGCTGACAGACCCACTTAAATGACTGAACCCCTCTTTTTAAAATTTATTTGGTTTTTCCCTTCCATCCAGTAGCTTTTGCTTTCTGCCAAAGTGGTCAAGACAGTTTCAGTGCCATGTTCCAGTGTGATGAAAAGATTTTACCTTAATCTCAGTCCCTGTGGTCATCATTTTACACTGGCGAGCACAAGAGCTCAAGGGATGCAGTCGTTAGAGGGGAGGAAAAGTCAGTCTCCAGAAAGACACGAAGTGCAAATCATCAGTTTGGAAAACCCTTGTTTTTGGTTAAAACACAGCCCTGCATCACTTGCTGCGCTCTGCCAGCAGCGTGGCTTGCCTGCTTGTTTAGCTGTTGCTGCCCTTACCAGGAGAATCATTTCGTCTCAAGACATTCAGATTCGTGTCTTTCTCAACTCCATCTTGCCAAGGGCAGAATTGCTGTGCAGCAGTGAGCACTGGCACAGGCTGCACAGAGAAGCTGTGGCTGCCCCATCCCTTCAAGTGTTCAAGGCCAGCTTGGAGCAACCTGGGATAATGGAAGGTGTCCCTGCCCATGGCAGGGGTGGAATGAGATGATGCGTAAGGTCCCTTCCCACCCAAACCGTTCAGTGGTTCTGTGAGAATGCAAAAATGTGTTTATTCTAACAAACCTGACCTGAAGATCCATAGAAAGCCAATATCAGTTTCCCTTCCATGATTTAGAAGCAGTGTGAACAAGTGGCTTTATTCCTGATTGTCAGAAGAAATGAAATTGTTATCTCATGCTCTGCTGAGCGCTGCAGCTCCCACAAAACTGGCTTTGCTTGGCAAGGGATACCCCGTTACACACGGAGCAGGCGGAGTTCACCAGGAGGCTGAAATCTGGGGCTGAGGGAGGGAGAGGACATTTTCACCTTCGTGTCCTATCATCCAACTTGTCAGAGTGGATTTTAAGGGCGATGGCTCCAGGTGCTGCGCAGCATTTCTGTCGTGGAGATGAAAGGTCACTGGATTTCACGTTTCCTGGTAGTGACAGACCGTGGAATTATGGCCCGGAGTTGTTATTTTCAGTCATTGTGACTTCTCCAGACAAAAGTGTGTCAACTGTTGTTAACTCTCTCCTCTACAGCATCTAAAATTTGCCTATCACTGTTAAAATCAAGCCTGTGGCTGCCACCATCCACACTGTCCCTCCTGCCCCCAGGCTCTCCTGCAGCTCAGAAAGGAAATCCATCCACTCTGCCTGCGCCAAAGCCTTTCCACGCAAAAATCCCAGTGAGCTCTCCATCCTCCTGTAGCCAGGGCTGTGGACATGCCCATGTGGTGTTGCTCATACCTCCTCTGGGCCTTCTCAGCTCACCCTGAACTCTTCATTTCCCAACTTCTACTTGTCCCTCCCCATAAATCCATCCAATGCTGTGGATTGAGCGCTGTTGTTGGTAGGATGTGTGTTTTTAACACCCTTTCTCCTGCATTGCTTAGAGGTTGCTCTTGCCATTTCCTTCCCCCCTTTGGCTGTGGTCTGGCAAGGGTGCAGGGATGGGGGGGGATACCCAGTGTGTCATCCCTCACATCTCTTAATCTGGTTTAATCGATGGTCCAGATTAAATCGGGTCCTCTTCTTTACCAGCTCCAAGCAATTCTCAACTCCTGCTGTGCACAAAGGGAGAAATTACCAATGTTTTCACCTTCCCCCCTGTGCTGTTCACCAGAGCCAAAACCATCCGCTCCCAACATGACCTTTCCTGGTGTGTGAGTAGATGTGCTCCAGCAGGGAGTCCACAGGGGGCCTTGGAGGTCCTTCCAAGCCCCCTGCTCTCAGGGGGCTCAGCTTCATACCACTTGTGCATCCATCCACTGTCTGCCACTCCATGGAAGGAAAGCCAGATGCAATTCCCAGCTGGCAGAGGGCAGTGCAGGGCACGTGGCACCCCGTGTTCTCCTGATTTTCCAAAGGGCACCTTCAGAATTGTATCCAAAAGTAATCTTGTCATTAGCAAAAACTCATCATCCTGGGGGGCTTTATGGCACAGCTGTGTCAGGGAAATTAATTTTAAAATTCTAATAGGTGCCACAATAGAATTGTTAACTTCTTGTCCTGTCTAAAATGTGAAATGCTTTGCAGAACGTTTAAAGGCGCCTTTCTCCATTTACACATGCATTGACATGGCTGCAAAAATTGTCTTTGCTGTGGTGCTTTCATTTTCTTGAGGGATGAACAAAATAAGTATTATAGATTTCTGTTTTGGGGTCTGGTTTTGCCTTTAATTCAGTGTTTGTTGCCACCAGTCCTCAACAAAAGAATTTGTTACCCAACAAGCCAGATAACAGCTAACATGTCCACAGTGAAATATTTCCTGGCAAGTGTGCTTACTCAGCCTGGGCTTCTGGAGACATTCCTGATGGAATACTGGGCAGCAGGAAGACGTTTTGTAGATAATCTGTCACTGGCTCTTTAATTAAAGTTTTAAATTATCACAGTTGATACAGATTTCCAAGTAAAGAGGCTGATCCTGCCCTCCACACACAAATAAAAGATCCCTTTGACCTTCAACAGATTTTACATCGGTAAAATAGCATGTCTTCAGGCAAAGCTCTTGTGGGTATTTATTATAATATGCTATAAATATTAATAATTCCCTACAAATGTCTCCATATTTGAGGGCATGAGCGCAATAGCGAGTAAATAATAATTTATTTCCGTGCACATAAACCCACATTTTACCTGAAGTTCTCTCTTAATTCACTGAGAATATAAACTTGCTGCTCATTATTTCTCTGTTGAAGTTAATTTGAAATAAGCATTCTGCACCCCAGCCTGATCCTGCTGGAGCACAGCACGTCTTGCTCAGGAAACCCCCAAGGATTTTCGCAGCCTGTTGAAGCCAAGGGAACCTTTCCTTTAGCAAGCAAATACATTTTACACCTGTCCCTGAGGGAATTTTGCACATCTCTGTGTCAAATAACACCCAGGGTCAGACCCTCGAGGCTTCAAGGATTTGTGGGGACAAAAGGCTAAATGCAAATCCTGTTAGGTGATGGATTAATGGTGCATGTTGTTAACTAATATTGACAAAAAGAACTTTCCCATGTGGGCTCTGTTGTTCCAAATTATCAGCTTATCTTGAAAAGTGCCAAGATTTTAATATCAAATAATCCAGTGCCTGGATATTAAACTACTTGTGCTTTATTGCATAAATATAGCTTGTTATTTATCTGCAAGATGTGGATCGCTGAAGCTCCAGGTCATTGTTTTGGAAAGCTTCTGCTTCTAACCTGATCACTGACAAAAAAAAAAAATCAAGAAAATGTGGGAAAAAAATTACTAAAAGTTTGAGGAAAAAAAAAGGAAGGATTTGGGGAGAGGATGTTTTGTCTGCCATTTGATTTTATACAACTGTTGGAGGATAAAGGTGACACAGAAAATGTGGCAAGAGGATGAGAGAAGACTTCATATTCATTTACTTTATGGAAAACAGTGATTTGGAGCCATGGGCAGATTCCTTTAGGAAAAAAAAAGAAACCAAACCATCAACTAAATAAAATTCCTCTTCTAATCTATTTCAGAAATTCCTGAAATGGCCAGATTTTAAGGTTGCACTTAACCCCCCTTCAGTCAAAGTCTATGCAATATGCTGCTTGGTTGTGCAGATGCCAGTTGAATGTGACCATCCAAGAGGAGACGTGTTCCCCCACTGGACTTTGCTGGACTCCACCATCCCTTCCTGGCTCCCAGAGGCCGAAGGCAGTAGTGTAGTGTAGCCACAGCACCCTTCCTTCCTGGGGGATGAAGCACTGATGGCACCCATCCACCAGGCAGCCTCGTGGGCACTCGGTCACCCCACGGCCACCACCTCACCGACAGGGCGGGCTGAGGGGGCACAGCAACGACCGGCTCATGTTCTTTGGGATTACCAGCAGGAATGGGAACTGTGGTGCCCTCTTAGCTCAAGTACAGGAGTGATTTGATTACCAACAGAGGAAGAAAGGATTGATTTAAAAGCTGGTAGAAGATCTAGACTGAAAACGAAGTGGTATATTTGGGCCAGGCAGACACCAACCCAACACGATACTGCAGTTTGAGAGAAGTCATTTCCCTGAAATTGCCTTTCCATGGAGCTCACTCGTCCCCATCACTTTGGGCCAAGTGGTTAAAGGCATGGAGATGCCAAACTTTCTGGTGGCAATTTGACATGTAAGCACCTGTGAAGAGCAAGACCCTCCAGTGCTTTTGGAAATCTCCAGCAGCTGGATTATCCAGATGCTTAAATGCCCTGCTGACTCAAGACTGCCCTGCTCCCCGTGGGCACAGCTGTTGGAAGCGTCATCTGATAACAGTGAAAAGCTTTGGAAAGGTTCACAGAGGCTAAACCTTCCAAAATTAGCCATCCTGGTGCTGGATAGCATCAGGGAGGGCTGAGCTGGAGCTGCCACCTCCCGAAGTTTCAAAGAAAGTGAGACTAAAAGAGGCAAGGGAGAGGAAAAGCCTTTAGAGAACAAAAAAGCCATGAACTGAGCAGCGCTTAATGTGATTAACTCTATCACACAGCTCAGTGCTCACACAAAGCAGGAGCTGCTGGACTGTGCAGTGCCAGAGTGACAGGGATGCTGCTGGGAAAAGCTCCATTCAAAGGGAGCTGCCATCAGAGCCAGCGGGACAGCAGCCCCTGCAACCCGACGTGTTCACCCGCACGCTCACAGGTCACCTGATGCTGCCCGAGCCTTTGTGTTCCCTTCCTGTGCCCAGCAAGCAAGAAAAGGACAATTCACAAATTAAACACGGCAGGAAAAGGCTCTGCCTAACAGCCAAAGGCCAGGCAGGAGCTGAAAGCTGCTATCCTGGATTTGTGCCCCAGGTCCTAACCACGCTTCTGTGCTTCCACCGCAGCAGAGTTCAAAATGCACCCTAAGGAGAAGGGCTGGGCAGGGTTATGAGGAGCCATTTGTCAGATGGGACTGGCTCCAAAGCTGTCTTTTAGTGGACACAGCTCTCAGAGATGTGGGAAACCCGTGACATGGTCTGCGTTGCCCTTTAAACTCAGAAATGTTTGTGAGGAAGCTTCTGCGCATCAGGGATTGTTTCCCCTTGGGAAAATGTTGCTGAAATTTGCGTGCACCAGTGGTAGTGCAGGATTCGCTATCATCATGATAGTATGAGGGTAGGTGTTAGAGATAGTTGGGGGGTTGGTTTGGGATTTTTTTGTGGGGAGGAAGCTCCTAGATTGAGGTTGGGAGGCCAGGTTCCCTTTGCAGAACACAAGCAGCCAAAGCAGTACTGAAATGAAAGCAGGCGTGCTGTTGCTGTTCAGGTGTGGTGTTGACTGATCAGATTCTTGGTGTGACTTTAAAGACCAAAAATGACATTATTGCTCAATTACATTGCTGTAAACCATTTTGCTGCAAGAGAAGCCTCAAGCCAAATCTTGAGCCTGTGTCCTTTGGTGTAATGTCTCTGTTTTACTCTGATTTATTCCAGCTAAGGATCTGACCTGCTGATATGCCTCGGTTACTCAGGGGCACGTTGCAGGAGGCTGGGGCGTTCTGCATGGTCAGGGTTTCTAAAAGGATTAGAGATGGGTTTGCTTTTGCTGCTCTAGAAGGTTGGGATTGCTAAACATATCTGTATGAGAAGAGTAGCAGACTCTGTCTTCGTGTACTTCTAATTTAATGAATGTTTAATGCTTCTTTTATCGGAGCCTACATATATGTAGAGTGGAGGACTTTAACAAGGGGTTGACTGATGTCAAATAATTGATGTTTGAGCTGCTCCTTTTACACGAAATGCAGACTTTACAGAGCAAAGAGACTGTAATGAAAATATGAATTAAAGATTAGAGCTAAGCAAGTCTGAGAACACTTAGACTTAAGAAAAGCACATGGAAGTTTTCTCCTCCTGCTTCCTTTCCTTCCCTCCACCTTTACTACATCTCCATCCTCTCTCCTTTGGTAGGGTCCTGCATTTCAGCTGCAGCCTTCTGTCCCTTCTACACCTCTGCCCCTCTGAGAAGGAAAGCAGTGCAGTATTGTCCTCCTGGGTGTATTACTGCATGTCTGCACATCCCAGCCTTGCCAGTCACACATCAGTTTGGCTGGAGAGATTAAGAGGTGTTTTTAAGGTGTGTTTATCTCTACCCCTAGTTTACTGATGCAATGCATCACCTTGGCAGAAGGAACAGGAGTGCAGGCTTTGTGGGACCCTTTGCCAGAGGGACCCACACTTTGGTGGAGCCCGTTGGGGTGAGGGTGCCAGGACGCTGTGGTGGTGGCAGTGGGGCTGCTGTGTGGCTGCTTCTGCTGCAGAAGGATGAGGGGAGGCAGTTCCAAGTCTGCCATCGGATAATTGCCAGTCCCTGTTGTCCAGAGATGCTTTCGTGCCCACAAACATCAGCATCCATTTCCTTCCACCCCCTTGGCCCACCCCTCTCTGTCTCAGTGAGCTGTCTGTATGCTCTGGCTTTCCACGGGTGCTCCCAGCTCTCCGTGCAGGTCTGCAGGCACAGCACCGGGCATCGCTCCTGCAGCAGGAGGCTTCTCATACCTCCATTCCTGCAGCACAGGTTTGGCTGGTTGCACTGCTGATCTGCCTTACTGCCCAAGACTGAAGAGCTTAGGCTTGGTTATGAGCCAGTAAAAGCCCACTGGAAAGAGGAGAGGATGTGGGTCAGTTCCTTGTGCCTGTGGCCGTGTTGATGCAGCTCAGTGAAAGAGGGCTGGGCAGAGAAGTCACCCACAGGTGACAGTCAGGGGACTGTCAGCACTTTGCAATGGGAGGTGAACTCCAGGATGTCCATATTCCACTTGTATCCGTTTCTGAAATCCTAGTTGCAGCGAGGAATTCAGTGAGGAGTTTTAAGAAAAAGAATGGATATGGATCAGTCCCACAATTGTTCCAAACTGGTGTAACTCATTTCACATCAGCTAAGCCATGTTTTTGTCCCAGTTACAAAAGTTTCATGCCCAGTAGTGCTGGCAGGGAAGCAGTTTGTTAGAATAAATGGAGCAGCAGTCGATGTACCAAAAAGAGAAGTGCTGGTGTCCTGCACAGGGATCTTTTGAGAGGAGTGGGTCTGTGTGAAGATAAGCACACAAAGTTCTCCCCAACCTTTCAAAGCTCAGATGCTTTTTACTGCAGCCGCTTGAGAGCATTTGAAGAAAATGGGAATATGTTGGTCAGAAAATGCTGACTCACTGAAACCTCCCTGGGAAAAAGGCCAATTATAGCAAACTCTCTGTTTGTACATTGGAAAGGGTCAGGGAAAAACCTTGAAGTGATCAGATGCCCCATTTAACGCTTTCAGAACAAACTGACTCAAATCTGAAAGGTTAGGGGGTGACATGGTTTTAGATGTAGATCTTTATTTAATAAGTTGGAACATTTCAAACAGGGAAGAGAGAAGCGAAGGGGCTTTTTGCCTTATGAATTATTTCAGACAGCCTGCTCTGATTTTTGCTAAAAGCTAAAGGTGTTTGTACCTTTGTCTTTTCCTCCCTGTTAGAGTGAGAGAGGAATAGGAGAAATAGCTTTGACTGTGATGGGAAACGTCCTTCCCGCTCAGTTCTCCCCCTTGCCTGGGGAGAGCAGCCAGGGCCAAGATTGAAGGAAGCCTGCAAAAAAGATAGATGTTTTACAAGAGCCTGTTGTGACTGGACAAGGGGCAGTGGCTGCAAACTAATGGAGTAGGTTTTGATTAGATGTTTGGAAACAATTCTTCCCTGTGAGGGTGGTGAGGCCCTGGCACAGGTTGCCCAGAGAAGCTGTAGCTGCCCCATCCCTGGAAGTGTTAAAGACCAGGTTGGACAGGGCTTGGAGCAACCTGGGATAGTGGAAGGTGTCCCTGCCCATGGCAGGGGGTGGGTGGAACAAGATGATCTTTAAGGTCCCTTCCAACTCAAACCATTCTGTGGGATTAGAACAGTCCTGCGGGGTTAGATACCTTTGGGACCACCACTTCCTTCCACACCTGGCAAGAGAAGGCTGTCAGCATCCAGTGCTTTTGGGAAATCCTTGGCACCTTGCAGGATCAGGGCCTGCAGGCTTTGCTGTGTGCAGAACAGCACCTGGCATTGTGCTTTCTGGCCTGATTGAAATGTATGGGAAGTGTCAGGAGGCGTGGGTGGAAGAGCCCTCCTTCGATATTGCTTCCGTATCGCGGAGTCACATCAGCTCAGGTCAGTGCCTTTGAGTGGTTTCTGGCTTGTGAGCCGAAATAGCGGTGTGTTTCGGTGCCGTCAGCTCTCACCCCGTCCAGGACGGGCTGCAGAGCCCGGAGCGAGCAGTTCCCCCTCACCCTCGGCAGGCGCTGCCGCCGATGCGGTTCTTGCCGAGCCAGCCCCGTGGGTTTGCAAGGCAGAGGCGCTCGTTTCGTGAGGGCCGAGCCCCCGTTGGGTGTTCCTTCCAGAAAAGCCTCGCTCCCTGATCTCTGACTCATCGCAGCCGGCGCTGACGTCCGAGGGGCTCCTTCTTTGGGAGGATTATTCACTGGCCGGGGCCGCAGCAGCTCCGATGCGTCATCCGTGTCTGCGGGCGGGGGCGCCGGCCCTTCCCTCGGCACAGCCGCCCCCGCCTCGCCCATCGGGGCGGTGCCAGCCGGGATGAATGGATGGGGCTGCTCCGGTTCGATTGGTGCACGCACGGCTCGCCTACCCTCGCTCTGCTGCAGGGAAAGCGGCGAGAGGGAATTTCTAGTGACTTTTCAAGCTGTGCCAAACGAAAATGAAATGTATTGCAGGGAACGTCAAACTATAATTGTTAAGGACTTGGAAAACTGTGATTAAAAATGAAAACCTGCCTACAGTAGTAACAATTAGGTATATTTGCTGTGTTTTGCCCATAAAACCACATTTTTCTCTTGGCTAAATTCGTGTCCCCCTAGAGAACAAATACACTGTGATCCAGTTCCTGATGCTGGTGTAAAGTGGCCTGGCTGCCGTGCTCCCAGGGAAACATCGTGCTTTGGCAGCAGCCAAGGGTTTGTCCCCCTCTCCCATTTGTCCTAACACTTCGACAGTGAAGTTTTTACATGCAAAAAAAGCCAGGGCCAGTTCTGTGCCTGTATAAGCCCCTTCTTGAAGAGTTTCACATGGATTTCACACCTCTGCCCAAATCGTCAACCCCATTTGGGTCAACCCATGAAATAAAGGTGATTACTTTTCTTACAGATTTAGCCCAACTTGTAGCTATGGATCTAAAGGCTCAAGGAGAATGGCCACCAAAGAAGGAATTACAAGCCCTCAGGAAGAAACCAGGACTCTTCTTGTTCCTGTTGCATGCATGGTGGTTTTTGCAGTTGGCACCGCCCTTTCTCTCTGCCTGTGTGCTCTGTCTCAGGGAAGTGCTGCCTGCGCTCTCCCTCCTTGGCTTCACGTGTGGTCAAGCAAGAAGCTCCTCTCCCAACTGTGGGTTAAAGTGCTGCCTCTGTCCTGTAGCCAGGGAGGAGATGAGAAGGTTCCACCAGCTACCTGGGAGCAGAGGTTTGGGCTTTCTAGGCACAACCTGCTCTGGGACAGGAAATGTTGGCACAGGGAAGCCTGCAGGAAACCAGGTATTGCATGGGGTGGTTGAATATCAGCTCCATGGTGGGGCCAACCCAATGGTGCTCCATCACTGTGTGCATTCATAGGCAGGTCACAGCCTGGGGGTCAGCAACAGGGCTACAGATCATTGACTTTCTGTTTTCCACTAATCTGTGTGTGTGAAATTAAATTAAATCCTCCACATCAGCTCATTATGTCAAAGACTTTGCCAGCTGGTGAGTTGGAAGTTTGGTGGTGCTTGCAGGCGTGGCACCTTCTGATGTCCTTTTGGTAGCAGCACCTTTTAATAAGGTGCTGTTGCTGTCTTTGGGGGCTCTGCTAGATCCTGTCTGTCAGCATTACCGTCCTGCTGTCCCGTGGGGAGGGGCAACCTCTTGGTGAGGGGCTGGCAGCGAGTTTGTCACCTCTTGCCACTAGGAGGGAGCCTCTCTGGCAACCTGGGGTAGGGATGATGACAAACAGGCCCTACGGCCCAGTAACTTGTCGGATGTGCTGCAGGGTCTGGTCATGCATTTCACCCGTGGTTGCTGAGTTTCTACATTTCTCAGCTGAAATCAGCTGCTGCTGTGCAGAATTTTGGCTGTGCACCCTGGGAGTGGATCTCTGGGGCAGAGCAACCCCCTAC